GTTAATTTATCAATTAATTATAATATTTTATTATTCCAATTAATGATTAGATATCGAATCGATGGTAAAATAATTTATCGATGAATTTTATATCATAGAATTGAAATGATTTGGAATAATAAAAATACCTATACGTTGAATAATTAATGAAGCCTTTCTTCTTTTTTTCGGATTTGCCGTTTTTATATTTTCTTTTTTCTTTTTTCAACGAGATAACGTATATCAATCGAAACATTTAATTATCGAATTAAACGATTAAGTTTGAATTATTAATTGTTACGAGATAGAGAAACGCGAAAAAGAAATTAAGTGAAATCCATCGATGTAATTTCTTTTTTTGTCTTAGAAAATGAGGATCGATTTAAAAAGACGTATGTCCGTCGAATAATTATTTCGTTGGATTAATACAAATTGATATATTATACGAAAGATGATTTTCTATAGACGAGATTTCTCGTATTAATTGAAATATTACATTATCAAATTAATCGATTAGATCGAATTATTAATTGTGCGAGATAAAGAAGAACAAGAAAAAAAAAATAGAAGAAGAAGAAGAAGAAGAAGAAGAAGAAGAAAATTCATCAATAAATTTGTCCATTTTAAAGAACAAATATAGAGATATGATTTATAAGTGTCGCGTGTCACGTTAAAAAAAATTTTTGCGAGTTTGATATACGCGAATTTTTTCATCTATTCTCTTTTTTCATTTCTATTTTTTTTTTCTATCCTTTTCTTCTCTCCTCTTTTCTTTTCTTTTCTTTTCTTTTCTTTTCGTTTCTTTTTTTTTTTCTCTTTTTCGGACGAGATATTTCCAGCATTCGCTGCACACGATTTATCGGATATCCGGTATCACGACGGTGATAACGAGTACGCTTAATGAGCACGTTTAAAGGGACGGACCGACTTCCATGGATTCCACTGACAAAAAAGGATTCGTTATTAAAAAAAGCAGATGGAGGATTAAGATGGGTGTGATGAGAGGATACTGTGATAAAGATGAGTGTGAAGAGGATCGAGGATGAAAAAAGGAAAGAGAGACAGAGAGAGAGAGAGAGAGAGAGAGAGAGAGAGAAAAAATTTATATATATATATATATATATATATATATATATATATGTACACGCACATACATAGACATATATATACACATCTCGTTATGACAAAATTACGAGGGACTCGTCCATAATTTTTTTTTTTTCTTTTTTCGTCCTGATTACGTACATCTATCTAGTGCAACCGTAGGATTCATCTCTCTCTCCTTCTCTTTTTCTCTCTTTTTCGTTTTCTTTACCTTCCCATCTCTTGCAGATTTCCATATTTTCTGAAAACTGTACGCACATGACGTTAATGAAAAGAGAGAGAGAGAGAGAGAGAGAGAGAGAGAGAGAGAGAGAAAGAAAAAAAACAGAAGTTAACAATGAACGAAGAACAACGAGTTACGTTAGAGAGGCCCACGTCTCTTATAAGATTTTTACTACAAAGTTATTTACCAGTTATTTAACTTGGTAAAACTTCTTTCTAGGACCACCTTTTCCTTTTTCTTGATTTTGTTTTCTTGCTTCTTTTTTTTCTTTCTTTCTTTCTTTCTTTCTTTCTTTCTTTCTTTCTTTTTTTCTTCTCTTCTCTTTTCAACTTACGCGATCGTTGAATCATTCCGAACTTACGACGTTTCTCGTTAAACTTTGACGTTCGTTCCATTCTCTCTCTCTCTCTCTCTCTCTCTCTCTCTCTCTCTCTCTCCTTGTTTCTTCTCTTTTTTTGTTTTCCTTTTCCCTTTCTTTTTTTTTTTTTTTTTATTATTATTATTATTATTATTATTTTTTCCTCTCTCTTTTTTACCCTCTGTATGTATTCCGGGATAATAAATAAATTTGATATAGCGAGTTTATGAACGTGTATGAAAATTATCGAAAATAAACAAGAAAAGAAAAAAAAAAAAGAAAGAAGAAAAAAAGAAAAAAACTCTTCCTTCGCGTACGAAGGACGTACACCAAACAGATTTCAGAGCTTAAATAATAATCGAGAGAAAATTTGAGCTTTAAATTCTACATGAACGCGTTCGTTTAATTTAATCGATCTATTCTCATGCACATCCAATTAATTCCCTTTCTCTCTCTCTCTCTCACTCTCTATGTGTGTGTCCATCAATCTAATTATAAAAAAAATATTCAAATGATAATATTAATTTATTTGAAAAAATTAGATAATAAAGAGAAAGAGAGAAAGAAAGATAGATAGAAAGAGAGAGAAAGAGAGAGAGAGAGAGAGAGAGAGAGAGAGAGAGAGAGAGAAAGAGAATGAAAGGAAGGATGATAAATAAGGAAAAAAGTTTGAAGGAGAAGATTTCGAAAAGGGATTAAAAAATCGAAGGCTCGATAAAAGAGATAAAAGGAAAAATGTGGTGGGGATAAGTAGTAAGCTCCTTGACAGATAATGCCAAGATGGAAAAGGCAAAGGAGAAGAAGAAGAAGGAGGAGGAGGAAAAAGGAAAGAAAAG